AGTCAGTCAGTCAGTCATTCAGTCAGTTTGTCAGTCAGTCTGTCTATCAGTCAGTCAGTCAGTCATTCAGTCAGTTTGTCAGTCAGTCTGTCTATCAGTCAGTCAGTCAGTCATTCAGTCAGTTTGTCAGTCAGTCTGTCTATCAGTCAGTCAGTCAGTCATTCAGTCAGTTTGTCAGTCAGTCTGTCTATCAGTCAGTCAGTCAGTCATTCAGTCAGTTTGTCAGTCAGTCTGTCTATCAGTCAGTCAGTCAGTCATTCAGTCAGTTTGTCAGTCAGTCTGTCTATCAGTCAGTCAGTCAGTCATTCAGTCAGTTTGTCAGTCAGTCTGTCTATCAGTCAGTCAGTCAGTCATTCAGTCAGTTTGTCAGTCAGTCTGTCTATCAGTCAGTCAGTCAGTCATTCAGTCAGTTTGTCAGTCAGTCTGTCTATCAGTCAGTCAGTCAGTCATTCAGTCAGTTTGTCAGTCAGTCTGTCTATCAGTCAGTCAGTCAGTCATTCAGTCAGTTTGTCAGTCAGTCTGTCTATCAGTCAGTCAGTCAGTCATTCAGTCAGTTTGTCAGTCAGTCTGTCTATCAGTCAGTCAGTCAGTCATTCAGTCAGTTTGTCAGTCAGTCTGTCTATCAGTCAGTCAGTCAGTCATTCAGTCAGTTTGTCAGTCAGTCTGTCTATCAGTCAGTCAGTCAGTCATTCAGTCAGTTTGTCAGTCAGTCTGTCTATCAGTCAGTCAGTCAGTCATTCAGTCAGTTTGTCAGTCAGTCTGTCTATCAGTCAGTCAGTCAGTCATTCAGTCAGTTTGTCAGTCAGTCTGTCTATCAGTCAGTCAGTCAGTCAGGTAGTCAGTCAGTTAGTCAGTCAGTCAGTCAGTCAGTCAGTCAGTCAGTTTGTCAGTCAGTCATTCAGTTTGACTTTGTCGGACAGTCAGTCAGTCGGCTAGTTAATCTGTAATCAATGGTAGTTTGCTTGTAGAAACAAACAAATATTCATCGACGCTAACTGCGCATTTTGATTTATTTGTGGCTGTCCAAGATTTTACTAAGACTCTCTGATTATATCTTTGCAGGTGCTGACAACAAGCCCCACTTTGACAACCCTGCAGCAGTACAGAGAGCTGCGACTGTTCTTGGTACAACCCAGGAAGACATAACCGAGATCATCTTTGCACCTCCGGTTGTCAATCAGTTCACCATACGAGTGCGCCGCCAAAGCCAGTCTAGAAATGAACTGAGTCCGTCCAGTTCTGCTGACAATACCCCCGAGAGGCAAGCGAAAGCTAAAGCGGTTCATTACATTGAAGCGTTGGAAGGGTTTGCAATGGGACTCTACCAGGAAGCGTTCGCTGCCTTGGTTAGATTCATCAACAGGTAAGGAAACGATAAAGAAATGATAAAGAAACGAAATAGGTAAAGAAACGAAAGCTGACTGTTGCAATGTGGTGTTTGTCATTACAAGTTTATGTGTGAGTTGATCAGCGTCAAGTATGGATACCTTACCAAATGGAACAGCGAGCATGCGCCAGGGGACAATTCTGGCCGCCCTTGCGCAAAATTTCAAAGGAAAACATAAGAAACAATCGCTGTCTCGCAAAGTAAGCGAAAGAAAATTAAAACGTTCGTAGAAATCTTTGAAAGGAAACAAAAGTAGGGAAAAGGAAAACTCGAGACTTGCCGAACACTAAGCTTATTCAAGTACGCGTTAATTTCACTGTTCTGTTCTGAACTTCATCAAAAAACCATACGCTTTTAAAACACCGTGACTTACTGAGTTGTGTGACACAACTTGGTTCTGACAACCCTGAGAGCACGCCTCCTGTTCATTGCAACGTTTGCACATGCGTAGATGTTTGACCGCTGTGTTACATCCAAGACGTGAATAAACGGTTAGTAAAGTGACTGACAGATCTAACTTGAACCAGCGAATTATCACTTAGGAGTTCCTTTGCGTGTAGCTCACTTTTGAACTTTCCTTCTCTGTCAGATCTCTTCAATGTAACGTTCGAACTGTGACATCAATGCACGTGCTGGACCCACCAGGCTTCCAGAACCCAGCATCAGTCGGCAAAACTGAGGGTGCACTGTTTGACGACCTGTGCCATAACTACGAGTATGAAAGGCTTCAAAAGTTCTTCCACGACACAGTGTTCAGTACTCAAATGGAAAGATACTCACAGGTACAGTGCCCGTGTATTTCACAGACCCGAGTAGTATTCCAATGTGATAGGGTGTCTCAAGACTAGAATCAAAATACTATTTATCACAGAAGCAAATTGGTTCAGCCTTTGTAGTTTCTTTGTATCAGAAAAAGTGTAATTGTCGAAATGAACCCATGAACTCAACGTTACTCGGGACTCAACACTAGCCACAGACTAGTAGAAATTCAGTTTTGGCGAGTGGTTTCGATTTCCACCCGCCAGTTTGGCTAGTAAACAAACTGAAATTGTTGTAACATCTAAGATGTCAGTAGCCACGTAGCTAGTAAGTTGAAAAGTTAGTGTCGAGTCCTGGTTACTGCATTTAACAGGCCTGACATGTGCAGAAACGCATTCAAACAAGTCGTTTTGGTTGTTTCATAGGGAGTGGTAGTATTCAGGGTTGAAAAAAGCGCTCTTTATGTAAACTGTTCATGTAGCTTTATTATTATAGTGCTGTAGAGATAGCAAGTACTAAGAACCAAGTTATAGTATCAGCAAGCTGCAATTTTAATTTCATAATTTCGTCGAACTGTTACCTCACTTTATTTTCTCAATCCGAACAAGTTGAAATAACTTATTACTGCAATGCTCAATGTGTGGAACAATTTAGACATGTAGGATATGTGCTGTGCATTTTTCCCCAAGAACCATAATAATCACATGACAGATGTTTACTAATCAAGTTTGATTTCACAGGAAAACATAGATTGTAGTTATGAAAGCGTGGCAAGCTCCCCTGATCCTGTGGTGTCCGTCTTTGATAGAGCTGCTCAAGGCGTGGTATGTACATTGTGTAAATCATATTTTAGTTGCCTTGTCTGTAAATTAAGTAATTCAATTCGTTTCTTTTCTCGATCTCGTCAGTAACAAGAAGCTATCGAACCTCAGCGTTCTGTAGAGCTTGTAAAAGTGTGAGGCTGAGAATTCAGACGCTGTTGCCGCTCCCTTTTCCCGTCAAGCCATACAGGCCGACACTTTAATGGTCAATTTTACTTTGACGCATCGTTTAGTGTCCCCTGCAGCCGTTCTTTAGGATTTTACGCAAGCATTTCATGACATGCAAACGGCTGTCAAGGAGACAACGATTCACTTGAAACTCTTGTGCATGAACACCTTGGTCAGATTGGATCGCTTAAAAATTCAAATATCATGTCGGAGCATTTTACACATCATTTGAAATATGTGTTGTGGGCCTAATTTTTAAGACATATAGGAGAAAAACATGTAACACTATCAATAACTCTTGCGTGACACCGATAGCTATATGAACTTGTAAGTAGGGACTTTAAGCAGTCAGGACGGCAACGCAAC